CAACTGTGACAACTCCACTGTAGGTGTGATCTTTATCTTTTAAACTCCACTACTCTTGCAACCCCCGCATTTAACTTCTCTTGACAACCCCATCTATAAATATATTAAACAACCACTGGTGACGTCACACATCCTTGTCTAAGGCCTACTTTTACGGGAAATAATTTCCCTCTTTCCTACATACTCCTAACTTGAGCCTCACTATCTCGTAAAAAACTCTTCACTGCTTTCAGTAACCTACCTCTTACACCATAACACCTGCAACATCTGCCACATTGCTCCCTATCCACCCTGTCCATCCGCCTTTGAACCAAGTGAGAGAGTAATGTAGTAGGGGATCTGAATTCTAAAGTAGGAGAAACTTTAAGAAGAGGGTGTGGTAGGTAAGTTTTGGGGTGCCTGGTGTAAATGATAATGGGAGCCCTTTGATTGAAACTTTTGTATAGAAAGGGTTAGTATAGTAATACATATTTTAAGAAAAAGAGGATAATAATATACATGATATGATGTAGGGCATAATGACAGTAGTTTTTGGATTATGTTCATTGGTGGATAAAAGACTGTTGAGTATACTTCAGGATGTACATGTTTATAGAGGGGCCACAGATATATCAGATCACTTTCCTAGTTGTAGCTACACTGAGAGTATAAAGGTAGATGGGATACAATGAGAAATAGAGCATCAAGGAAGAGAGAGGTAAAGGTTTTATAAACTAAAAGAAGGAGGCAGTTAGGGTAAGAATATAAACAGCTATTGGAGGACAGATGGGCTAATGAGAGCTATAGGAAATGGGGTCAAAGAACGTATGGGGTAGTTAAAAAATCTCTCCAAACTGCAATATCCCAAACCCATCCTTTAGATGCAGGCATTGTACTTCCCATTTCCAGGACTCAGTCCTACTAATGAAAAATAACCGGTTCGCTGAATCCTTCACTAAAATATTATATACCCTGCTCCACTCCAACAGATCATCAGGTTCCCAAATACCATTTGTCCTCATTCACTCCTACTAACATCTCACGCACGCTTGCTGAAGGTCCAAACCCCTCATCCACAACACTCTCATTTTACCCCTCCCCTAAAACCCTTTCGAGACGACCCCTAAACCGCCTTCCTTCCCCCTTACAGATTTTACGCTCCCAAGTCATTCTATTCTACAGTGGACCCCCGCATAAGTACGATATTAATCCGTTCCTGAGAGCTCAGTTGCTGTTTATGCGAAATATCGTTATGCGAATTAAATTTTCCCCCATAAGAAATAATGGAAATCCAAATTAATCCAATGGTTTGTGCAAGACACCCAAAGTATGAAAAAAAAAAAATTTTAATCCACATGAAATATTACTTTTAATACACACAAACTGAAAAAGGCCATGCACAATTACATGACACTTCCCTTTATTGAAGATCTGGTGATGATTGATGGGATGGAGGAGGAGAGAGTCTTATGTTTAGAAGGGAATCCCTTCCATTAAGACTTGAAGGTGTCAAGTCCTTTTCGGGGGTTTACTTCCCTTCTTCTTTTAATGCCACTGGACCAGCTCTTCCAGAGTCACTGGACTTCTGTCGCACAACATATCTGGTCCATAGTCCTGTACCTCTCGTTCCTTATGACTTTCCTAAAGTGTTTCACAACAGTGTCAGTGTAATAGTCACACAGCACGGCTTGCAATACTGTGTTAGGGTGAAATGTCATCAAAAAAAGGGTTGCACTTTAAGCCACATTCCCACACACACATTTCCTTAATCTTTGAAGTAGGCAACTTCTTCATATTTCTCTCTCCCCTCCTCCGAACACAGTTTTCCCATCAGGTCTAGGCCTCTTGTCTGTTAAGTTGATCTAGCAGCTCCATCAGTGTTTAGTTCTTCATTGTCACCCTCCCCAACTCTTCCACATCATCCCACTAACCTCCAACCCCAAGGACTTTCCCAATGCCACAAGGATTCCTCAACTGGCATAGGATTCCCAGGGTTAAGCTTCAACCCTTCAAAATCCCCTTGGGTCCTACACATTCTGGCCAAAGTTTCTTGGCCAAGCAGAGTTCAATGTCCCTAGTCCACTCCCTCCCCAAGCCTTACCTATAAGGTTCACGACAATTGAGGAATTAAAGTGACTCTCCAAAACTCTCTTAGAGTCAATTGAAGTTTTTCTGAAGTCACTACAAAAGCACCATTCAAACAGAGGCTTTTTATGGAAGTTTTTTGAAGTTTCAATATTATTTTTTTTTATTTTTTTTTTTTTATTTTTTATTTTTTTTTTTGGCAAACTTCAAAAACTATCATAAAGCTCTGTTTGAAAGGTGCTTTGTAGTGACTTCAGAAACTCAATTGACTCTAAGAGAGTTTTTGGAGAGAATCACTTTAATATCCTCAATTGAGGAACCTTATAGTAAGGCTTGGGAGGAGTGAACTAAGAGGACATTGAACCTCTGCTTGGGAAGAAACTTTGGCCAAATGTTATACCAAAGGATTTTGAAGGGTTTGAAGCTAACTCTCCATCATCTTCTGGGAAACCTATGTCAGTTGAGGAATCCCATTGTGGCATTGGAAAGTCCTTGGTTGAGTTATGGGATGATGTTGGAAGAGTTGGTGAGGAGGACAATGAGAACTAACCACTGATGAGCTGCTAGATCAACTTCAACAGCAAGAGGCCAGACCTGAGGAAACTGGTTTCGAGGAGGCGAGAGAGAAATTGGAGATTGCCTACTTCAAAGATTAAGGAAAATGTGTGGAATGTGGCTAAATGGCAAACCTTTTTTTTGATGACAATCACCCTAACACAGCTATTGCAAGCGTGCTGGTGACTATACACTGACACTGTTGTGAATCACTTGAGGGAAAGTCAAAAGAACGGAGGTACAGCCCATGGACAGATAAGTTGTGCGACAGAAGTCCCGTGACTCTGAAGCTGTCCTAGTGCATTAAAAGAAGAAGGGAAGTAACCCCAGAAAAGGACTTGACACTCAAGTCCTTAATGGAAGGGATTCCCCTTCTAAACACTAAGACTCTCCTCCTCCTCCATCCCATCAATCATCACCAGATCTTCAATAAAGGTAAGTGTCATGTAATTGTGCATGCCTTTTTCAGTTTGTGTGTATTAAAAGTAATATTTCATGTGGTAAAATTTTTTTTTTCATACTTTGGGGTGTCTTGCACGGATTAATTTGATTTCCATTATTTCTTATGGGGAAAATTAATTCGCATAACGATAATTTCGCATAACAGTGAGCTCTCAGGAACGGATTAATATCGTTATGCGGGGGTCCACTGTAGAATGACTTGGAGAGCGTATAAATCTGTAAGGGAAGGAAGGCGGTTTAGGGGTCGTCCTCGAAAAGGTTTTAGGGAGGGGGTAAATGAGGTGTTGTGGATGAGGGGTTTGGACTTCCAGCAAGCGTGCGTGAGCATGTTAGATAGGAGTGAATGGAGACAAATGGTATTTGGGACCTGATGATCTGTTGGAGTGTGAGCAGGGTAATATTTAGTGAAGGGATTCAGCGAAACCGGTTATTTTCATATAGTCGGACTTGAGTCCTGGAAATGGGAAGTACAATGCCTGCACTCTAAAGGATGGGTTTGGGATATTGGCAGTTTGGAGAGATTTTTTAACCTACCCCATACGTCTTTGACCCCATTTCCTATGCTCTCATTAGCCCATCTGTCCTCCAATAGCTGTTTATATCTTACCCTAACTGCCTCCTCTTTTAGTTTATAAACCTTCACCTCTCTCTTCCTTGATGCTTCTATTCTCATTGTATCCCATCTACCTTTTACTCTCAGTGTAGCTACAACTAGAAAGTGATCTGATATATCTGTGGCCCCTCTATAAACATGTACATCCTGAAGTCTACTCAACAGTCTTTATCCACCAATGGCATAATCAACAACTACTGTCATTATGCAACCCTACATCAGATCTGTATACTTTTATTAATCCTCTTTTTCCCTTAAAATATGTATTACCTATAACAAACCCCCTTCCTATACAAGTTCAATCAAAGGGCTCCCATTATCTTTTACACCTGGCACCCCAAACTTACCTACCACACCCTCTCTAAAGTTTTCTCCTACTGTACAATTCAGATCCTCTACTACAATTACTCTCTCACATGGTCAAAGGCGTATGCAGGGTGGATCGGGAGGCAATGTGGCAGATGTTTGCAGTGTATGGTGTAAGAGGTAGGTTACTGAAAGGCAGTGAAGAGTGTTACGAGGATGTGATGCTTCAAGTTAGAGATGTAGGAAAGAGGAAATTATTTTCCCAGTAAAAGTAGGCCCTTAGACAAGGAATGTGAGATGTCACCGTGGTTGTTTAATAATTTTATAGATGGGTTGAAAGAGGAATAAATGCGAGGGTCCTTGGCAAGAGGAGTGGAGTTAAAAGATAAGAATCACACTAAAGGGGGGAGTTTTGTCCCACAGTTGCTCTTGCTGATGCACTGTGCTCTTGGGAGATTCTGAAGAGAAGTTGCAGAGAATGGTTGGATGAATTTGGGTAGGTGTGCAAAGAAGAAAATGTAAAAGTGAATACAGGAAAGAGTAAGGTTATGAGATAACAAAAGATAGGTGATGAAAGATTGGATATCAGATTGGAGGGAGAGAGTATGGAGGAGGTGAATGTATTCAGATAATTTAGGGAGTGGACCGTGACAGCGGAATTGGGTCTATGAAAGATGAGGGTAATCATAGAATTGATGAGGGGAAAAGGGTGAGTGGTGCACTTAGGAGTCTGTGGAGACAAAAGAACTTTTGTCCTTGGAGGCAAAGAGAGGAATGTATGAAGTATAGTTTTATCCAATCTCTTATATGGTGTGAAGCATGGGTGATGAAATGTTGGCAGCGAGGAGAAGGCTGGAGGCAGTGGAGATGTCCATTTCCTGAGGTCAAAGTGTGGTGTGAATATAATGCAGAGAATTCGAAGTTTGGAAGTTAGTAGGAGTGCGGGATACCAAAACCTGTTGTCCCCAGAGGGCTGAGAAGGTTGTATGAGGGGTTCGACATGAAGAAGAATGGAGCAAAACGAGTGACTCATGAGTTTATCAGGTCTGTAGTGGAAGGAAGGCGGGTAGGGCGGCCTAGGAAAGATGGAGGAGGGGGTAAGGAGGTTTTGTGTGCAGTGGCTTTGGACTTCCAGCAGAGCACGCGTGAGTATGTTTATAGGAGTGAATGGAGACAAATGTTTTTTTAATACTTGACGTCTGTTTGGAGTGTGAGCAAAGTAACATTATGAAGGGTCAGGGAAACCCGGCAGCCGAAAACTTGAGGCCGTAGATGAAGTACAGTGCCTGCACTCTGAAGGAGGGGTGTTAATGTTGCAGTTTAAAAACTGTAGTGTAAAGCACCCTTCTGGCAAGACAGTGATGGAGTGAATGATGGTGAAAGTTTTTCTTTTTCGGGCCACCCTGCCTTGGTGGGAATCGGCCAGTGTGATAATAAAAATAAATAACATCTTCCTATGTTAGTGTGACTTGTAAGTGGTCCAAGTTGGACTGAAGCATCATCAAAATCTCCTCTCTCCTATGTGCAGGTTATGATTTTGGAGAACCAGTCTTAATTCAGCAAATGTAAATGATTTGAAAATAATTATACCCATATTTTTATTTCATCATGTGCACACACATCAGTCTGCACATATGGACAGGGTTGAAAGCTTTAATACATTTTTGTTTGAAGCTATTCTGAACCATTTGCAAATTCTAGACAGGAGTTGCAAGTCATCCTAGTAGTTTCATGTCTTAGCATGAAACAGGACTTATATTTGTGATTGTATGTTTGATTATCAATAGTTACATAACAGTAGGCAGGATATCTGATATTGTTGATACATGTCTGCTTACATTTTTTTGTTCATGATAGATTTACTATCATGAAGGGATTCAGGGAAACCGGCAGGCCGGACTTGAGTCCTGGAGATGGGAAGTACAGTGCCTGCACTCTGAAGGAGGGGTGTTAATGTTGCAGTTTAAAAACTGTAGTGTAAAGCACCCTTCTGGCAAGACAGTGATGGAGTGAATGATGGTGAAAGTTTTTCTTTTTCGGGCCACCCTGCCTTGGTGGGAATCGGCCGGTGTGATAATAAAAAAAAAAAAAAAAAAGATTTACTATGGCTTTTTAATAACTCTTTTCTTTCTTTCAACACACCGGCCGTATCCCACTGAGGCAGGGTGGCCCAAAGGGAAAAACAAAAGTTTCTCCTTTTACATTTAATAATATATACAGGAGAAGGGGTTACTAGCCCCTTGCCCCTGGCATTTTAGTTGCCTCTTACAAAACGCATGGCTTACGGAGGAAGAATTCTGTTCCACTTCCCCATGGAGATAAGAGGAAATAAACAAGAACAAGAACTAGAAAGAAAATAGCAGAAAACCCAGAGGGGTGTGTATATATATGCTTGTACATGTGTGTGTAGTGTGACCTAAGTGTAAGTAGAAGTAGCAAGACGTGCCTATAATCTTGCATATTTATGAGACAGACAAAAGACACCAGCAATCCTACCATCATGTAAAACAATTACAGACTTTCGTTTCACACTCACTTGGCAGGACGGTAGTACCTCCCTGGATGGTTGCTGTCTACCAACCTACTACCTAATTTTTTAATAATTGAAAGTTAAAAATTCATGGCACTTTACCATTTTATAACTCTTACTGTTACTTGAACCATGACAGAATGACTTCCAGAATGCAGGTGTACACTTGATAATAATCATGTGTTACTGACATTGTCCTTGAAAGGACAGTAATATAGTTTAGAGTTTATTAGTGAACTAATTCTGTCTCCATCACTATAGTAAGGTGAATCTTGTATCTTCCAGTCATGTAACATTGAAGCCTGTGGCTTTGATGGTGGTGACTGTGGACTCGACAATATTCGGCATTTACACCGCTTGCCAACCCCTGCATCTTATAACTCTACCTATGTTCTTCCACAAGGTGAGTGAGCTAAATGGCAAGGCAATGAAAGTGTTGAAACTGAATAAAATATTTTGTGATTTAATTCAATGCAGTACAGTACTATGTTGGTTACAGTGTCTTAGTATCTAAATTAATAAATATGTAATATACCTGAATGATGCTGTGTAAGACAGCTGAAATTGAGGTTTATGGCAAAATTACCTTTGCATTTTTTTTTTTGAGAATTTTGTATATTTTAGGTATTATGGCTGCATGGATGAATATTTCCTCACTGGTAATCCCTGGTAAGACAGTGGAAGGGCAGCACACTGACCACCGAGGTTTACGCACTGCTGCAATCAATACCGCTCAGGGTATACTTTTCATCATTTTCAAGATTAATGTTTCAGCTACAATACAGATTGAGTTAAATATTATCAACAAGCAACAGGGAGGAAAAGCTGCAAAGGAGAAGGACCTTGTCAAAGTAAGAAGGACTTAACTTTGTGAAAAATGTTCTTGGATAACTGTGGTTATCAGCAAATGCTTATCTTATTATGAATTTGTCCAGTTCTGGGAAATGTAAAGCTGCTCTTCCCTTCTTCAAATCAAGGCTAAGCTTGATTATCCCTATTCCTTAGGTGTTATATATCCTTTACAAGTTTAGTGTTTACCTATACATGTCAAGATACAGTAATAATTTACTAATGTACAGTGCACTAACTCCTGAATGTCCATGTTCTGTGATTGAACATCTGGCCATCATCTGTAAAATTGTGTTCATTCCCTGATGAGGATTTGTTCATAGTCATCTCGCTGATTCCATTTGGCATCATCCAGGGCAGAGGAACTAGAAAAATTAGGAAAGGAGATTACAGATTACTTTTCATCACATTTGTAATGATATACGTATTTTTTTTTTCAACAAACTAACCGTATCCTACCAAGGCAGAGTGGCCCAAAAAGAAAAATGAAAGTTTCTCTTTTTAAATTTAGTAATTTATACAAGAGAAGGGGTTACTAGGCTCTTGCTCCTGGCATTTTAGTCACCTCTTACAACGCGCATGGCTTACGGAGGAAGGATTCTGTTCCACTTTCCCATGGAGATAAGAGGAAATAAACAAAAAGAACAACTAGGAAGAAAATAGAAGAAAACCCAGAGGGGTGTGTGTATATATATGCATGAGCGTGTTCGACAGGAGTGAATGGGACGAATGGCATTTGGGACCTGACGATCTGTTGGAGTGTGAGCAGGGTAATATTTAGTGAAGGGATTCAGGGAAACCGGTTATTTTTATATAGCCGGACTTGAGTCCTGGAAATGGGAAGTACAATGCCTGCACTCTAAAGGAGGGGTTCGGGATATTAGCAGTTTGGAGGGGTATGTCCTGTATCTTTATACGTATATGCTTCTAAACTGTTGTGTTCTGAGCATCTCAACACATAATCACTGCACATTGCATTGCATTCATCTAAAAAAAAAATAGCTCCTTTGTGAAGTACGTACTTATACAAAATGTGTTTCTTGCTTTATTTTATATTATTTGTTGTTCTTCTCAATTTGTATGCTCTTATTCTTGAGGAATGTGAATGATTCTCACTAAAATAAAAACCATATATCTTAACATTGTTTACTTGTTTAGCTTTGTTGGTAGTGGTTCTCAAAATAAATATTCACAAACCAAAAACCTTTGGGATCGAATTGGCAAAATTAAAACTAAAGGACTCTTCCTGGAAACCAGTTCAAAATCTGGAAATTTAAAGATTTGGATTACATTCACAGAAAGAGCTAATCCCAAATGGGCCATTTAGCACTGCACTGCAGGCATGAAAGAGATAGTGGAAATTTAAAGTGTGAGAGAGTATGTTGTAATGGTGTTACATTAATATATTTTAGCATTTATTAGCTTTTGTGCTTATATTGTATATCTAATGGCTAATTTTATTTTTTGTCTTATGTTTTAGGGGGGATCAGATTTTATATATTATCCCCATTTTTTACAAGTGAATATTTTTTACAGTATACACGATTTTATCGTCATGAGTTACAAATTTTATAAGTGCAAACATTTTTGATATAAATATCCATAAAATGGAGATGATTGTTCAGTACCAATAAATGGATTGAGCTGTTGAAGCAAGAGGCAGGCATGATAAACAGCTCATTCTTTTTACATAATACTAGTAAATGAAATACTGTAAATGTAAAGTAACATCTTTGTTTCTTATTTTTCAGTATGACCTGACAATAAAGTGCAACACATTTTCTACTGCAGAGAACAAACTCATAACTGTACAGAAGCCTGCACCTAAGTCTCCTATATATGCCAGAAATTTTACTTTTGAACGGGTGGCTCCAGATGTTTTGAAATTAGAAAAAACTCCATTGAGAGTCGGTGAAATGAAATATGCTCTTGTTAATGTCAATGCATCAAACCTTCCAAAATCTCTCATTTTAAAAGTTCGTGACTTGGTTGCTATGTTTAAAAATAGAGAGTTGACCCTTGTTGGGTTAAAAAAAAAGAAATCAGATCTCATTGAAAAATTTATAAGTTCCAATGGTACCCATGAATTAGTTTACCATCAGAGTGATAAGTGGTTTAAGGATGAAAAACTCTCCTTTGGAGAGGTGAAGATAAAAAATGACTCTTCACTTAAAAATGAACAATCTATAATCAGTGACAAAATAGAAAATGTACAGCCTGCTGTACTGGGTATATATCCCAATAAGTCGCAAAATGTCCATAAGAAAACAAGCTTCAGGACATTGTTATGGTCTTATCAGTCTGTTGAGAAGCTAAATTTTGACAAAATTAAGGAAACTTATGAATTGCCACATTCCAACAGAATTACAGAATATAAGAGTTTGACCCCCCTTGGTAAAAAACTAAAAGAAAACACTGGAACTTTATCAACTTATCAAGGCAGCTTCCCTTGGGAGAAACAAGAGCTTGGTTCTTTTAGACCTTTTAAACATTCGGCAAAATATTGGGACTATGCACAAGTACACACTGGCCAACGACGTCTTCTTGATATGTTTGCCGAATCGCTTCTCCATGTCAATCGCCTGTACAATTCTGAATATGGTTACCAAGCTCGAAGAGTTCCTGCTCATATGCCACATCTGATCAGCAAAAATATAATGGAAAGTTTGCAGAACAGGTACTGGATTTTTTGTTAGTGTTAAATACAAGTCAGTAAATATTTTTCTTTCCTGCAGATGAGAGGGAGTTTTGAAATTGGAATAGTTTAAAAATTTGGGGAAAAATAATATAGTAATGTCCTTGAGATGAGTGAAAAGGTTTTGTATGATATAAGCATCATAAATGAGTAGTTAAAGCTCACATGGATGGAAGATCAAACTCAAAATGAAAATGATTCATGAATTCTTAATTTAGAAACCCTCTTCAGTGAGTATACCTATTCAGCCTAATGGAGAATAAAGAAAACGTTTATCTTTAATTTTATACTTCTTTAGGCAAATTAAAAATATACCCGTATTTATGGATTATGATTTAATGCTATTTAATGCTACACTCTGAAGGAGGGGTGTTAATGTTGCAGTTTTATAACTGTAGTGTAAAGCACCCCTCTGGCAAGACAGTGATGGAGTGAATGATGATAAAAGTTTTTCTTTTTCGGGCCACCCTGCCTTGGTGGGAATCAGCCGATGTGTTAATAAAATAAAAAAAAAACATTTTTTTTACTATACCTGCCATCTCCCACCGAGGTAGAGTGACCCCCCCAAAAAAAAGAAAATTTATAGTTTTTTCTTTTTACATTTAGTAATTAAATGCTACTTTTTTTTTTTTTCAACAAGTCGGCCGTCTCCCACCGAGGCAGGGTGACCCAAAAAAGAAAGAAAATCCTTGGAGGCAAAGAGGGGAATGTATGAGAGTATAGTTTTACCAACGCTCTTATATGGGTGTGAAGCGTGGGTGATGAATGTTGCAGCGAGGAGAAGGCTGGAGGCAGTGGAGATGTCATGTCTGAGGGCAATGTGTGGTGTGAATATAATGCAGAGAATTCGTAGTTTGGAAGTTAGGAGGAGGTGCGGGATTACCAAAACTGTTGTCCAGAGGGCTGAGGAAGGGTTGTTGAGGTGGTTCGGACATGTAGAGAGAATGGAGCGAAACAGAATGACTTCAAGAGTGTATCAGTCTGTAGTGGAAGGAAGGCGGGGTAGGGGTCGGCCTAGGAAGGGTTGGAGGGAGGGGGTAAAGGAGGTTTTGTGTGCGAGGGGCTTGGACTTCCAGCAGGCATGCTTGAGCGTGTTTGATAGGAGTGAATGGAGACAAATGGTTTTTAATACTTGACGTGCTGTTGGAGTGTGAGCAAAGTAACATTTATGAAGGGATTCAGGGAAACCGGCAGGCCGGACTTGAGTCCTGGAGATGGGAAGTACAGTGCCTGCACTCTGAAGGAGGGGTGTTAATGTTGCAGTTTAAAAACTGTAGTGTAAAGCACCCTTCTGGCAAGACAGTGATGGAGTGAATGATGGTGAAAGTTTTTCTTTTTCGGGCCACCCTGCCTTGGTGGGAATCGGCCGGTGTGATAATAAAAAAAAAATATCATTCAACACTTTCACCACACTCACACATTATCACTGTTTTTGCAGAGGTGCTCAGAACACAACAGTTTAGAAGCATATACGTATAAAGATAGGCAACATATCCCTCCAAACTGCCAATATCCCAAACCCCTCCTTTAAAGTGCAGGCATTGTACTTCCCATTTCCAGGACTGAAGTCCGACTATATGAAAATAACCGGTTTCCCTGAATCCCTTCACTAAATATTACCCTGCTCACACTCCAACAGATCGTCAGGTCCCAAGTATCATTCGTCTCCATTCACTCCTATCTAACACGCTCATGCACGCTTGCTGGAAGTCCAAGCCCCTTGCCCACAAAACCTCCTTTACCCCCTCTTTCCAACCCTTTCGAGGACGACCCCTACCCCTCCTTCCTTCCCCTATAGATTTATATGCTTTCCATGTCATTCTACTTTGATCCATTCTCTCTAAATGACCAAACCACCTCAACAACCCCTCTTCTGTCCTCTGACTAATACTTTTATTAACTCCACACCTTCTCCTAATTTCCACACTCCGAATTTTCTGCATAATATTTACACCACACATTGCCCTTAAACAGGACATCTCCACTGCCTCCAACCGTCTCCTCGCTGCTGCATTTACCACCCAAGCTTCACACCCTTATAAGAGTGTTGGTACTACTATACTTTCATACATTCCCTTCTTTGCCTCCATAGATAACGTTTTTTGACTCCACATATACCTCAACGCACCACTCACCTTTTTTCCCTCATCAATTCTGTGATTAACCTCATCGTTCATAAATCCATCCGCCGACACGTCAACTCCCAAATGTACCTGAAAACATTCACTTCTTCCATACTCCTCCTCCCCAATTTGATATCCAATTTTTCTTTATCTACATCATTTGATACCCTCATCACCTTACTCTTTTCTATGTTCACTTTCAACTTTCTACCTTTACACACATTCTCAAACTCATCCACTAACCTTTGCAATTTTTCTTTAGAATCTCCCATAAGCACAGTATCATCAGCAAAAAGTAACTGTGTCAATTCCCATTTTGAATTTGATTCCCCATAATTTAACCCCACCCCTCTCCCGAACACCCTAGCACTTACTTCTTTTACAACCCCATCTATAAATATATTAAACAACCATGGTGACATTACACATCCCTGTCTAAGACCTACTTTTACCGGGAAGTATTTTCCCTCTCTTCTACACACCCTAACCTGAGCCTCACTATCCTCATAAAAACTCTTAACAGCATTTAGTAACTTACCACCTATTCCATATACTTGCAACATCTGCCACATTGCTCCTCTATCCATTCTATCATATGCCTTTTCTAAATCCATAAATGCAATAAAAACTTCCCTACCTTTATCTAAATACTGTTCACATATATGCTTCAATGTAAACACTTGATCTACACATCCCCTACCCACTCTGAAGCCTCCCTGCTCATCCGCAATCCTACATTCTGTCTTACCTCTAATTCTTTCAGTTGTAACCCTACCGTATACTTTTCCTGGTATACTCAGTAAACTTATTCCTCTATAATTTTTACAATCTCTTTTGTCCCCTTTCCCTTTATATAAAGGGACTATACATGCTCTCTGCCAATCCCTAGGTACCTTCCCCTCTTTCATACATTTATTAAACAAAAGTACCAACTTATTGTTTTTATTGTTTTCAATATAAATATATTTTGTAGGTAGTAGGTTGGTAGACAGCAACCGCCCAGGGAGGTACTACCGTTCTGCCAAGTGAGTGTAAAACGAAAGCCTGTAATTGTTTTACATGATGGTAGGATTGCTGGTGTCTTTTTTTTCTGTCTCATGAACATGCAAGATTTCAGGTACGTCTTGCTACTTCTACTTACATTTAGGTCAAACTACACATACATGTACAAGCATATATATACACACCCCTCTGGGTTTTCTGCTATTTTCTTTCTAGTTCTTGTTCTTGTTTATTTCCTCTTATCTCCATGGGGAAGTGGAACAGAATTCTTCCTCTGTAAGCCATGCGTGTTGTAAGAGGCGACTAAAATGCCGGGAGCAAGGGGCTAGTAACCCCTTCTCCTGTATGTATTACTAAATTTGAAAAGAGAAACTTTTGTTTTTCTTTTTGGGCCACCTTGCCTTGGTGGGATACGGTTGGTTTGTTGAAAGAAAGATAAGTATATTATATGTCACTGCTTATAATCACTGCCAAGGAAGTTATTTTTCTTCAACTCTTGACACTGTACGTAATAAAGTGTTATCCCTTCCCTTGTTTTTAGTTTTGTTTTATAATTTTTATTTTCATTTTTTATGTGTTTGTCAGGGAAGATTACCTCTTTTAGGTTTTAATAATGGAATGACCTACTCACAGGTGCCATTAATATTAATGTAAAGTTTAGGCACATTCTATTTTCCCCAGTTGAATATGCTAAAAATTATGAACTGAACCAAAGTAAAGCTTTAGAAAATTCTATTCAAATTATTCTTCTCATTATGTTATATTTTTGCCTACAGATTCAAGGAAGAATTTGAACTAACATCATCTCACAAGATTAGACAGGCAAATGATATGCAGTATGCTTTCTCATATTACTTCTTTCTGATGAGTGAGAAGAGGATAAGGACTATAACAGAAATTTTCAGCATTTTTGATACAGATAATTCGGGGTTAGTATTAATTAAAAATAATTTTTCCTGCTATTTGACCTTGGAGATAATACTTGTGGATTCTATTTGTTGAAAATATTGATTACAGAGTAGGAAACTAATTTGCAAACCCTCAATTTAACAGAGTAATAGTGAGCAGGTGTGTGATAATGGTGATTGTAGTGGCTAGAGATGAAATGATTTTGATGTAATTGTAACAATAACAGACAGTTCTGTAACTGATGAACTTTGTCCACTGTTTCTGAATCAATTGATACAAGAGATTGTATTCCATATTTTCATAGTTTCTTAAATTGAGGGCTTACTCATTTTCTTCTTACCTGGAGTGTACCTGGAGAGGGTTTTGGGGGTCAGCACCCCCCATGGCTCAGTCTGAGACCAGGCCTCATTGTGGCTCAGGGTCTAATTAACCAGGCTGTTACTTCTGGCTACATGCAAACTGGCATATGAACCACAGCCTGGCTGGTCAGGTACTGACTTTAGGTACCTGTCCAGTGCCTTCTTGAAGACAGCCAGGGGTCTATTGGTAATCCACCTTATGTATGCTGGGAGGCAGTTGAACAGTCTTGGACCCCTGACACTTATTGTGTTGTCTCTCAGTGTACTTGTGGTGCCCCTGCTTTTCATTGGGGAAGGGTTTCATCTTCTACTGAGTCTTTTGCTTTCATAGAGAGTGATTTTTATGTGCAAGTTTGGTACTAATCCCTCTAGGATTTTCCAAGTGTATATTATCATGTATCTCTCTCTCACCTGCATTCCTGGAAATACAAATCAAGGGACTTCAACCATTCCCAGAAATTTAGGTGCCTTATCGTACTTACGTGTGCCATGAAAGTTTTTTGTACACCCTCCAGGTTAGCAGTTTCACCTGCCTTGAAGGGGGGCAGTTAGTGTACAGCAGTATTCCAGCCTAGAGAGAACAAGCGATTTGAAGAGCATCATCATGGGCTTGGCGTCCCTAGTTTTGAAGGTTCTCATTATCCATCCTATCATTTTCCTAGCAGATGCGGTAGATACATTGTTGTGGTGTTTGAAGGTGAGATCCTCTGACATTATCACTCCCAGGTCCTTCACATTACTTTTACGCTCTATTATATGGTTAGAATTTGTCATATACCCTGAGAGTTTTAATTTCCTCAAGTTTTCCATATCTGAGTAGTTGAAATTTCTCTTCATTGAACTCCATATTGTTTTGAGGGGCCCATTTGAAGATTTGGTTGATGTCTGCTTGGAGTCTTGCAATGTCTTCGATGGAGGTCACTGTCATGGCAGTTCGGGTGTCATCTACAAAGGAAGGCACGGAGTTATGGCCTATATCTTTGGTTGTGTCAGATATGAGGATGAGGAATAGAATGGGAGTGAGTATTGTGCCTTGTGGAACAGAGCTTTTCACCGTAGCTGCCTCAGACTTTACTCTATTTACTACTACTCTTTGTGTTCTGTTTGTCCGGAAGTTATAGATCCATCTACCAGCTTTTCTGCTTATTCCTTTATCACACATTTTGTGCACTATTACACCATGGTTACACTTGTTGAAAGCTTTTGCAAAGTCTGTGTATACTACATCTGTAGTTTGTTTATCCTCTACAGCACCCAGGACCTTGTCATAGTGGTCCAGTAGCTGGGACAGGCAGGAGCAACCTGCTCTAAACCTGTGTTACCCTGGGTCGTGTAACTGATGGGTATCTAGAACCCTTTCAAAGATATTTATGATATGGGATGTTAGTGCTATTGGTCTGTAGTTTTTTGCAATTGCTTTATTGCCACCTTTGTAGAGTGGGGCTATGTCTGTTGTTTTTAGTGAGTGTGGAATGACTCCTGTGTCCATGCTCCCTCTCCATAGAATGCTGAAGGCACGCAACAGGGGCTTCTTGCAGTTCTTGATGAACATGGAGTTCCATGAATTGGGGCCTGAGGGAGAGTGGGCATGTCATTTATTGCCTTTTCAGAGTCTTGTGGTGTTAGGATAATATCCGAGATTTTTGAGATGACCAAATTTTGGGTCTCGTTCATAAAGAATTCATTTGGATTGTCGACCCTTAGTTTGGGTAGTGGCTCGCTGAACACCGAGTCGCATTGGGACTTTAGTATCTCACTCATTTTCTTGGCTGTATTCCGTGTATGTCCCATCTCGCCCAAGCAGGGGCCCAATACTGGATGTTGTTTTTTCCTTAGATTTGGCATAAGAGAAGTAGTAGTTTTTTTCAGTTTCCTTTATGGCTTTTAGTTCTTCCTGTAATTCTTGTCTCCTGTAGGATTCCTTCAGCTTAAGTTCGATATTTGCAATTTCATTGACAAGTGCCTCCCTTTGTATTTCAGTTATAATGGCCCCCTCTAACAGCTCTGTGACTCTTTGCCTTCGTCTGTATAGGGAGTGTGTGTCTCTTTCTAGTTTACATCTTCTCTTTCTTTTTCTTAATGGAATGTGCCTTGAGCAGATCTCAAGAACCACAGAGTTTATTTTTTCTAGGCAAAGGTCCGGATCCGTGTTGTTAAGGATATCTTCCCAGCTTGTTTCATTTAGGACATTGTTGACTTGTTCCCATTGTATGTTTTTGTTATTGAAGTTGAGAAATATAAACACATATGCGTATAATGTGATCCTTTATGACAACGTTTCACCCACACAGTGGGCTTTTTCAAGTCACACACAGATCTGTGTGTGACTTGAAAAAGCCCACTGTGTGGGTGAAACGTTGTCAATTAAAGGATCACATTATACTGCATATGTGTTTATATTTCCACTGTGTCGGTATTTTGATACATTTATTTTTATTGAAGTTGATTTTGTGAAGGCACCCTCATGACTGATCACATTTTGCTGGTCAGGAGCCCTGTTCATACATGTCTGTACCCCTATTATGTTGTGATCTGAGTGTATTGTCATTAATACGGTTATATTACTTATCAGATCGTCATTGTTAGTGAAGATGAGGTCCAGTGTATTTTCTAGTCTTGTAGGCTTTAGTATTTGCTGGTTTAGGGTGAATTTGGTGCAGAGATTTAATAGCTCATGTGTGTGTGAATTTTCATCTGAGCTGCCTCCTGGGGTGATCTCTGCTACAATATTATTTGCTACACTCCTCCATTTTAGGTGTCTCACATTGAAATCTCCCAGTAGCATGAGGTATGGGGCAGGAGTTGGGAGATTTTCTAGACAATGGTCAGTTTTCAAAAGCTGCTCCAGGAATTGCTGGAAAGTTGCATCAAGAGGGTTGTATGCAACCACAATGACAAGGGTATGGTTTTCAATCTTTACCGCCAAAACTTCAGCTACAGCATTTGAGGTGTTTAATAGTTCTCTGGAGAGGTTATGGTTCCCCTCTTTTGTTTCACATAATCTGTCTGGTCTGTGTCTTCTTGTCCCCTTTAGATGATGTGCCTGGCAGTATGTGTTGTAGCATTTTCTTTCATGGAATGACGAGTGACACAATTCACTTATTTTATAATCACTTTTCTTTTTAATTCACTGACTGTTTCCCACCATCAGCCATTTACAGAGTTACTGTAACAGTTAATAACTATCTTATTTCTTAAAGGTAATGACATACTCATAATTCTGTTTCAGTATCTTATTCTTACCCAACAAGGCTGTTTGCTCTATTTCATTAGTCTATTACTAAACAGTACAGCCTCTCCTCACTTAGTGACGTACTCGTTTACCGATGCCTCAGACATTTGATGGGCTCTCTGACCAGTATGCATACCTAAATAATGTACTATATTAGAGCTGATTTCCTCTATTCTCTTTATTACAATATACAGTACGCTACTGTATAAACATTTAAAAATATACCAGAATGTTATAAATGGTGCAAAGGTGACATTAAAACAATATCAAGATGGTTGACACAAACCCACTACCATTATAGTATGTTCCTCATTTAACAATGAATTCACTTACTGACGTGGTCTTAAGAATGGAACTCCGTCATTCTTCATTTTTTTCAGTACTTCAAACTCCCTTTAATGTATTGACTTAATTTGGCACTTGTATAAATGATATAACTAGTGATTCCATGCCTTTTTTTAAATCTTTCTTTTCTTTTGTCAAATATAATTTGTCTCTTATAACATAAGTACATACATGTATATGGAAAACCTCAAAACAGTTTGTTTGTTTGTTTTGTTTCTGCATATATACACAGCTTATCTCAAAATGTTTTTGAAAACTATCCTTAGAACTTCATATTGATATTTTCTGTTGTATACTTTTATGCTTAAGTACATTATCTTTCCTGTAATATAAATATTAAATTTATATTTATCTTCACAGTACTCTGTCAGACCGGGAGATACGAACTCTATTGACTCATCTCTATGATCTCCCACTTCACTACAACAATCTCCAAGTTGTACATCATATAATTAAAAATTGCTCTGCCACCCACCATGCCAAGCCAGTGACAACCCCAGTCTATGAAAGATATGCTGATTCTGACTTGGTAAGTTTCTCTCTGTATTTTGCTGCTACTAATTCTTGTTTAACACTCAGCTATGACCAGGAGACATCATTGTGCTTATGTGATTGTCACAGTTCCATTCCTGCCATGAAACTAGTTTTAGCTTTGGAACTCTTTAAGAGGGGGTAGAGGGGTACCTTGATACTGGTGAAGAATGCTTGATCAAAGGAATTAGAGCTACCCCTCCCCTTAGATCAAATCTGATTACTTCCCATTCCTCAGGCACTGATCACCCTGTGGATTTAGTGCTTCCCCATTTTTAACCCTTTGGGGGTCGACAGGTCCTCTCAGAGACTTGTTCTCAGGGTTGGCCAAATTTCAAAAAAAAAAAAAAAAAAAATTCTCATGAAAAGATAGAGAATCTTTTCCCGATCATAATGACACCAAAAGTATGAAATTTGATGGAAAACTTACGGAATTATGTTCTTGCGAAGTTAGCGGTCTCGACGATGTTTACGCATCATCGATTTTGCCCAATTTGAGCCCTATTTTCGGCGAATTCCAGTGTACTAGTCGACAAAAATCATAACTATTTTGCTAGAACTCCATTTTTTCTATCGAATGAGTACAAGAAACCACCCATTTACTGATTTCAACTATCCAATAAAGTGGGCAGAATTTAGCAATTTTGCCAATTTCACACATATTTCAAAAGATGCCAATTTCTGAATAGGGTCCCGAGTAAACAAGAAAAACATTCCCGGCACTAAAATAACAAGTTCTCTGTTCGTTAGTCACATCCCCAGGATCCTCTTATGTTTCTTTGGCTTTCCACTTAGAATTTTTATTTTTACAAAAAAAAAATAAGATTTACTGTTATGCAGACTACTGCATTAGTGTAGAAATGGTATAAATAATATCAGTGCACTTGTGAAAGAATATTAGACTCACCATTTGATGTGTAATGGACGCTTGGCATGATTTGTTTACTTTTGAAATTTGGTAAAAATCGAACATTTCTGCTACTTTGAGCTCAATTTCAAGGTACTTTTCATTGTAAAACCAGTCAAAATCATCTCAATTTCTGTAATATGTCTTCCATTCTATAAAATGAGATCAAGAAAACTAGAATACAACAATAAATACCATACGAAAATACAGTGCAAAGTCGCTGTTTTAATCCAAAAACACGGTCCAAGTTTTTTTTTTTCCTCATTACGCATTGTGTGCTGCAGAATTATTTTTATACTGCGCACACTGACCACATAGACTCATTCTTACATATGTAGGCCTACCAACCTTCTCTCACTAGATTTGAGGGCGCTAGAATTTAGGCGTACTAGTACGTCAAAAATCCTGGGTCGTAAGATGTACTAGTACATCCGAAACACCCAAAGGGTTAATGGCTAATTTTGAATAATGAGATAGACATCATTACTTATCAAAGATTTGCTTATATACTCAAGTATAGGTCAGCCCTTGATTCTTTACTTTAAAAATCTTTATATCTTGTGTATAAGTCAGTGTTAGTATTTGAGACATTTTTTAATTAAAGTACTGGTACTGTACTGGATAATATAGACAAATACAGTAGATGTAATTTTCATACAGGTACATCTAGAGGAGTGACTGGTGGAATGATGAAGTAAAGGGTGTGATAAAAGAGAAAAAGGTAGCTTATGAGAGGTTTTTACAAAGCAGAAGTGTTATAAGAAGAGCAGAGTATATGGAGAGTAAAAGAAAGGTGAAGAAAGTGGTGAGAGAGTGCAAAAGGAGAGCAGATGAAAGAGTGGGAGAGGCACTGTCAAGAAATTTTAATGAAAATAAGAAAAATTTTTGGAGTTAAACAAGTTAGGAAAGCCTAGGGAAAGTACGGATTTGTCAGTTAAAAACAGAGTAGGGGAATTAGTAGATGGGGAAAGGGAGGTATTAGGTAGATGGCGAGAATATTTTGAGGAACTTTTAAATGTTGAGGAAGAAAGGGGGGCGGTAATTCATGCACAGGCCAGGGAGGTATACCATCTTTAGGAGTGAAGAAGAGCAGAATGTAAGTGTGGGGGAGGTACTGAGGTATTACGTAGAATGAAAGGGGGTAAAGCAGCTGGAACTTATGGGATCATGACAGAAATGTTAAAACAGGGGGGATATAGTGTTGGAGTGGTTGGTACTTTTGTTTAATAAATGTATGAAAGAGGGGAAGGTACCTAGGGATTGCAGAGAGCATGTATAGTCCCTTTATATAAAGGGAAAGGGGACAAAAGAGATTGTAAAAATTATAGAGGAATAAGTTTACTGAGTATACCAGGAAAAGTATACGGTAGGTTATAATTGAAAGAATTAGAGGTAAGACAGAATGTAGGATTGCGGATGAGCAGGGAGGCTTCAGAGTGGGCAGGGGATGTGTAGATCAAGTGTTTACATTGAAGCATATATGTGAACAGTATTTAGATAAAGGTAGGGAAGTTTTTATTGCATTTATGGATTTAGAAAAGGCATATGATAGAGTGGATAGAGGAGCAATATGGCAGATGTTGCAAGTATATGGAATAGGTGGTAAGTTACTAAATGCTGTTAAGAGTTTTTATGAGGATAGTGAGGCTCAGGTTATAAGGGTGTGTAGAAGAGAGGGAAAATACTTCCCGGTAAAAGTAGGTCTTAGACAGGGATGTGTAATGTCACCATGGTTGTTTAATATATTTATAGATGGGGTTGTAAAAGAAGTAAATGCTAGGGTGTTCGGGAGAGGGGTGGGGTTAAATTATGGGGGATCAAATTCAAAATGGGAATTGACACAGTTACTTTTTGCTGATGATACTGTGCTTATGGGAGATTCTAAAGAAAAATTGCAAAGGTTAGTGGATGAGTTTGAGAATGTGTGTAAAGGTAGAAAGTTAAAAGTGAACATAGAAAAGAGTAAGGTGATGAGGATATCAAATGATTTAGATAAAGAAAATTTGGATATCAAATTGGGGAGGAGGAGTATGGAAGAAGTGAATGTTTTCAGATACTTGGGAGTTGACGTGTCGGCGGATGGATTTATGAAGGATGAGGTTAATCATAGAATTGATGAGGGAAAAAAGGTGAGTGGTGCGTTGAGGTATATGTGGAGCCAAAAAACGTTATCTATGGAGGCAAAGAAGGGAATGTATGAAAGTATAGTAGTACCAACACTCTTATATGGATGTGAAGCTTGGGTGGTAAATGCAGCAGCGAGGAGACGGTTGGAGGCAGTGGAGATGTCCTGTCTAAGGGCAATGTGTGGTGTAAATATTATGCAGAAAATTCGGAGTGTGGAAATTAGGAGAAGGTGTGAAGTTAATAAAAGCATTAGTCAGAGGGCAGAAGAGGGGTTGTTGAGGTGGTTTGGTCATTTAGAGAGAATGGATCAAAGTAGAATGACATGGAAAGCATATAAATCTATAGGGGAAGGAAGGAGGGGTAGGGGTTGTCCTCGAAAGGGTTGGAAAGAGGGGATAAAGGAGGTTTTGTGGGCGAGGGGCTTGGACTTCCAGCAAGCGTGCATGAGCGTGTTAGATAGGAGTGAATGGAGACGAATGATACTTGGGACCTGACGATCTGTTGGAGTGTGAGCAGGGTAATATTTAGTGAAGGGATTCAGGGAAACCGGTTATTTTCATATAGTCGGACTTGATTCTGAGAACCTCTGCAAAAACAGTGATAATGTGTGAGTGTGGTGAAAGTGTTGAATGATGATGAAAGTATTTTCTTTTTGGGGATTTTCTTTCTTTTTTGGGTCACCCTGCCTCGGTGGGAGACGACCGACTTGTTGAAAAAAAAAAAAAACATGAACAGAAAAGAAAAGGTAGTTATGAAGACACTAAATGCTTAATATTGATAATTTTTACTTAGTAATAGTGTAGCTAAATACTGCATGGTATATCTTTAGGCCAAATATATACAGTAGTATATTTAAATGTATGTTCTGAATTTCAGCCAACTGTGAGTTTAGAGCTTGTGCTAGAGTGTGAACCATTAACAACTCTTTTGAACAAGTTAGAGAAAACGGACAAATACAAATTTGTTCACCATAATGATGATGACATTCATTTCAAAATGGTTACTTCAAATGTGTCGATAGTTGTGCACATGTTAGATGAAGTGCGGAAAAACCCACGGTAAGTGTGTTTTTAAAATTGTTTTCCTAATAACTTATAAGTGAGGTAAATACCATTAGTTCTGTATTATAAAGAAATCACCCTTTTTTTTTTTGCTTCACTTGACTTCATTATGATTGAAAATAAAATATCTCGTGCATTCATGATGCTGGATTAATGAAGTATGTTTGGAAGAACTCTTCTAGCGAATGGTATAAAATATCCCAATTGCAGCTTCTCCAAAGAAGGAAAAATAGTTTTATATAAAAATTTGCCTTGTGTACAGTACTAATTTTCTCTTGTAAAATGTCAATTTCAGGCTGAGAGAACATTGTAAATATAATAAACATTGTAAATGTACCATAGAATACAGCTGGTTACAGGAAAATATAATACATCATTGACTGGCCAGCCCTCTTGCAGAAGGGTGCACTGGATTTTCAACCAGTCAGGTTATCATATCACCTTACAGTTTTTTTTTTTTTTTTTTTTTTTTTTTTTTTTCACATTGTCTGTTTGAATGTCAGCTCAAACAAGGCTTCCAGATAATGTTCAGTGCTGAATAATCAGTTGCCAGATAATCAGTGGTCTACTGTAATTTTTTTTCAACAAGTCGGCCGTCTCCCACCGAGGCAGGGTGACCCAAAAAAGAAAGAAAATCCCCAAAAAGAAAATACTTTCATCATCATTCAACACTTTCACCACACTCACACATTATCACTGTTTTTGCAGAGGTGCTCAGAATACAACAGTTTAGAAGCATACACATATAAAGATACACAACATATCCCTCCAAACTGCCAATATCTACTGTAATATCATAAGAAATAGTTGAGGAAGCATCCTTTTATTGATTCAGTGCTAGTGATCCCTTCTAAACTGCTCCATCTCGTAATATTTCCATACCATTTTTTAAATATTTTTCCTCTTATGGTATTCATAGATTTAATGTTGATAGATAAGAGTAAGGTGATGAGAGTATCAAACAATTTAGATAAAGAAAAACTGGATATCACGTTGGAGAGAGGGAGTGTGGAAGAAGTGAATGTTTTCAGATATTTGGGAATTGACTTGTCAGTGGATGGGTTTATGAAGGATGAGGTTAACCATAGAACTGATGAAGAAAAAAAGGTGAATGGTGTGTTGAGGTATCTGTGGAGACAAAAAACGTCATTCATGGAGACAAAGAAGGGAATGTATGAAAGTATAGTGGTACCAACACTTGTGTGGGTGTGAAGCTCGGGCTGCAAATGCTGCAGCGAGGCGGCGGCTGGAGGCAGTGGAGATGTCCTGTCTAAGGGCAATGTGTGGTGTAAATATTATGCAGAGAAAGCACTGGTTTGGTAAGAGAGTTGTGGATGAGTGGAACAAACTCCCAAGTACAGTTATTGAGGCTAAAACGTTGTGTAGTTTTAAAAATAGGTTAGATAAATACATGAGTGGGTGTGGGTGGGTGTGAGTTGGACCTTACTAGCTTGTGCTACTAGGTCAGTTATCGTGTTCTTTCCTTAAGTGAATGTGACCTGCCCTGACTAGGTTGGGGCATTGGCTTAAGCTGGTAGGAGACTTGGACCTGCCTCGCATGGGCCAGTAGGCCTGCTGCAGTGTTCCTTCTTTCTTATGTTCTTAGAATTCGGAGTGTGGAAATTAGGAGGTGTGGAGTTACTAAAAGTATTAGTCAGAGGGCTGAAGAGGGGTTGTTGAGGTGGTTGGGTAATTTAGAGAGAATGGATCAAAGTAGAATGACTTGGAGAGCGTTTAAATCTATAAGGGAAGGAAGGCGGGGTAGGGGTCATCCTCGAAAAGGTTGGAGGGAGGGGGTAAAGGATGTTTTGTGGGCGAGGGGCTTGGACATCCAACAAGCATGTGTGAGCATGTTAGATAGGAGTGAATGGAGACGAATGGTTTTTGGGACCTGACAAGCTGTTGGAGTGTGAGCAGGGTAATATTTTGTGGAGGGATTCAGGGAAACCAGTTAGCTGGACTTGAGTCATGGAAATGGGAAGTACAGTGCCTGCACTTTAAAGGAGGGGTTTGGGATATTGGCAGTTTGGAGGTTGACTTTTAAACTGTCGTATCTGAGCGCCTCTGCAAAGACAGTGATTATGTATGGGTGAGGTGAAAGTGTTGAATGATGGTGAAAGTATTTTCTTTTTAGGGATTTTCTTTTTGGGCCACCCTGCCTCGGTGGGAGACGAGCGACTTGTTACAAAAAAAAAAACTTTTAGTAATTGTAATGATATAATACAGTACGAGTTGAACCCCATTCATCTTGTTTGAGCTCTACGTACAGTATTCACTCTGAACACAATTTTTTCAAATGCATTCCCCATGCAGATCACCAGCTTATAGTATCAGCTTATGGGCTCTTATATTTTTATAATAACATACAGTGGTACCTCGGGATACGAACAGCTCAAAACGCGAACAATTATGTAAGTGTATTTATGTAAGTGCTTTTTGTAAGTGTATGTTTGGGGGTCTGAAATGGATTAATCTAATTTTCATTATTCCTTATGGGAACAAATTTTTTCGGTATCAGCACTCAGCCCTTTGGAACAAATTAAATTCATATCCCGAGGTACCACTGTATGTGTATTTTGTAGTTACATACTATATAAACAAGAATATTTTTAATGTTATGACAACATTACTACATAAATTTCAGTATTAGTATGTATAGTACTGTATTGTAGTGTTCTGATAGTTATTCTCCACACAAGTATCAAATGTTTGCCTATAGTATGGTAAATATTTACTATTTTGATAGTTATTCTCCACACAAGTATCAAATGTTTGCCTATAGTATGTAAAGTATTTACTTGATAATATGTGCAATCATTATTTAAATGCATTAATTATTTAGTATTATTGTTATTGATTGATTGTGCTTGTACTTGAGTTCTGGAAGTGGGAAGTACAGTCCCTGCAATCTGAAGGAGGGGTGAGGATATTGTAGTTGGGATGAGGGCATTTGAACTGTTATGTTGGTGTACCTCTGGATGGAATGAGTGATGGTGAAAGTGTCTTTCTTTTTTTCAAGTCACCCTACTTCGCTGGGAGATGGCCGGTGCAATAAAAAAGAAAAATTCATCTAGTGTCATAGGTGTTGTATGGTGTTTGAGTCTAGAAGAATATTTTGAGAAAAAGTCTTTATAAATCTGTGCTGTTTTAATTGTTATAATTCAGCAAGGAATGTGTTTTATTTCCCTGCCTCAGTGGGAGACAGCCAGTGTGTTAAAAAATATACCCATACTGTATTTTCACCTTGACCTTGTCATTTTTATAATCTGCAAAATCACCGATTGTCATATAAGATTAGCAGTAGTTAGAAATGCATCACACTGAATGTCTTTATTTTTTCAGGAAATTCATATGTTTGAATAGTAACCTAGACCCAAGAAGTAAGGAAAATGATTTGATTCACGCCCTAGTCCAGGACACTTATGAATCGCTCTTTCCTGTGCCTTCCTCATTTGAGTTACCCGTGAACTACCGAAATCGGTTCCTGTATATTGAAGAACTATTAGCCTGGAGGAAATGGAGAGATCTTATTCGTGCACTCATCTATGCTTGTTTGGCTTCCTTAATATTTCTCACCTTGATCAACTTTTTCAGTACAGAGGTATGTATCAAATTATTTTTATCCGAAGGAGCTTGTTTGGTGTCATGCAACTTATTGTTGCCTTTCATAATTAGTAGAAAGTTTGTGATAGTGACAATTGAGAATTTATTTTGTATTTATGAAGTGTAAAAATTAATCTTCTTTTATTAAAAAATCATATATGTAAATTTTTGCAAGCAATAACTTCAGTGAAGCTTATCTTGTGTATTTACATTTATGGAGATGAGTATTTTTTTCTTTTTTTTTACTATATTCTGCATACTGTACTTGTACCCATTACATTACTAAAGCAGCAAAGTGTAAAAACATTAAAAGAATGTCTAGTAGATAAGGTAATACATCACACTAAAATTAATGCAATACTGTACATAATTTGACTAAATCACACTGTACTCAGTTTATCTTGGGTTAGCTTACCCTTTCACTGTCCCTTATGTAGATCCATATGATTGGGGCCATTGGCACCTACATAGATCATCTTGTAAATTATAGCACCCTCAAATATGCTGTGAGCAGTAAATTTTGGCCTAGACCTCAGAGAATGGGTCTGTACAGTTGATGTGCACAGTATAAAAAATATGCCACACTTTGATGGGAACAACAAACCTTTTACTTTGTGTTTGACTTAAAATAGCAACTCTGGATTGTTTCTAAGGTGGATTTCATGGTTTTATTGGCAGTTTCAGGTGCCATTTCATAGATCAAAAGACATACTCTTGCAATGGAGAAGCTTATGGTGTGTCAGACCAGAAGCAGCCTCAAAGTGGTGGAAAGAGTTGATTTTTGGCTATTTTCCTGAGGCAGAATAAGGTTTATATCCAATCTGTTTTCTGGGATTTTACTAGATCTACTTCAGTTATTGGGACATCCTAAACCATGACTAAACATTTTTGGTTATAGTTTATTAGCCAAGGAATAGGAAACATTTTTATTTTTGTGATAATGTTGGATTCAGAATGGAGGACAAGTGTATAGGAGAGGCCTGGGGATGTGATCAGTGAACAGAATGAAGGTTGTTTAGTGGCTGGAATGCCTACAATATTTGTTTTGGACTTTGTTGACCATACTGTAGAACTGGTCAGTATAATTGACCAAATTACTGGGTTATGGGCATTTTATAAGGTAACTCTGATAAATAAATGGGCAGTTCCTTGTGATCTTTGTATAATATTGAAGGCATACTAGCAAAATAGCCAGGAATTGAGTTTGCTTGAGTACTGAACTTTATCTAAAATAGGCTTTAATTTGGGCAAAATTGCTGTTGTGTAAAGTGCTCCCATAACTCCAGATTTGCCCTTATATAATTCTGCAAGTATTCCATCAAATTTTGCATATTTGGTGTCTAGAAAAACATTCTTTACCATTTTAGAAGACAAAAATGGATACACAGAAGGGGGCTTTCAATCTGTGTGGGTGTCAGCAGTAAAGGGGTTTAATTTATTAAGAATTATTTACCATCATTGAAACACTGTATATTAATTTTAAGATGTTCAAGCTGATTTTCTTTCTGTTATTACAACAATAAATTTATGCTCGTGTTTGGCAAACTGAGCATTACTTGATGATGGAATTCTGTTGGACCATAACCAGTGGTCAAGGAAGAACCCTCCTGGAACAAAGATTTTTTTTTTTGTAGTTTTGTCCTTTTATTAAATGTGCTTCTTTCAAACACCTCCAGGTTAAAAATCTGAGCAAAGTCTTATCTTAAAACAGTTTCTTTAGAATTCTGAAGAATTCAGTATTTTGGTGTAATTGTCTTGCTCAATTAGAAATAATATAACCTCATTATGAATAAGAAAACATAATAAATGTGATTTCCTAATTTTCTAAAAATGTATCAATACATTCCCCTTTGTACTGTATATAGCTGGAAGGCCTTCGTAGAAGATGGTGCAGAAGACGACGACGAAGAGATGGTTTTGGAGGAGTTCGGGTGTGAGAAGATACTACACTTTGAACTCATTAATCTTGCTTTAAATTTTGCTGTATTGTAACAGTTTTTTTTTTTTTTTTTAGTTTTTTTTTTAACAAGTCGGCCATCTTCTACCGAGGCAGGGCAACCCAAAAAGAAAGAAAACCCCCAAAAAGAAAATATTTTCATCATCATTCAACACTTTCACCCCACTCACACGTAATCACTGTTTTTGCAGAGGTGCTCAGAATACAACAGTTTAGAAGCATATATAAAGATACACAACATATCCCTCCAAACTACCAATATCCCAAACCCTTCCTTTAAAGTGCAGGCATTGTACTTCCCATTTTCAGGACTCAAGTCCAGCTATATAAAAATAACCAGTTTCCCTGAATCCCTTCACTAAATATTACCCTGCTCACACTCTAACAGCTCGTCAGGTCCCAAATACCATTCATCTCCATTCACTCCAAGCTCACATGCTCATGCACGCTTGCTTGAAATCCAAGCCCCTTGCCCACAAAACCTCCTTTACCTCCTTTTATGTATATATATAAATATACATATATATTCTTTCAATGTACCAGCCGTATCCCACTGAAGTGCGGTGGCCCAAAAGGAAAAACAAAAGTTTCGCCTTTTAAATTTAGTAATATATACAGGAGAAGGGGTTACTGGCCCCTTGCTCCCGGCATTTTAGTCGCCTCTTACGACATGCATGGCTCATGGAGGAAGAATTCTGTTCCACTTCCCCATGGAGATAAGAGGAAATAGACAAGAACAAGAACTAGAAAGAAAATAGAAGAAAACCAAGAGGGGTATGTATGTATATGCTTGTGCATGTATGTGTAGTGTGACCTAAGTGTAAGTAGAAGTAGCACGATGTACCTGAAGTCTTGCATGTTTATGAAACAGAAAAAAGGACACCAGCAATCCTACCATCATGTAAAACAATTACAGGCTTTCGTTTTACACTCACTTGGCAGGACGGTAGTACCTCCCTGGGCGGTTGCTGTCTACCAACCTACTACCTGTATACATATATATATATATATACTATACGTATTTTCTTTTTGGGTCACTTTTCCTCAGTGGGAAGCAGCCGATATGTTGAAAAAAAAAAATATACATATAGCAGGCATGTGTGAGCATGTAAGATAGGAGTGAGTGACAAATGGTTTTTGGGGCTTAACAAAATGTTGGTGTGAGAGCAGGGTAATATTTTGTGAAGGGATTCAGGGAAACCGGTTAGCTGGACTCGAGTCCTGGAGGTGGGAAGTACAGTGCCTGCATTCTTAAAGGAGGGGTTTGGGATATTTGCTGTTTAGAGTGACATCTAGACTGTTGTATATGCGCTCCTCTGGCAAGACAGTGATAGTGTGAATGATGATGAAAGTGTTTCGAGTCACCCTGCCTTGGTGAGAGATGGCAAGCGTGTTAAAAATAAATTGATATACTGCTTTTATTAGTTACATTTGCACCATCCTCTTCTTTCTGTTTATAAGTACATTAGCTGAATAATTAGGTACAGTGGCCAGATTGACTATTATTATCATCCTTAAGACTAACCAGCATTTTTATTTTTATTTTCTAACTTTTTATTAATATGAAATGCAAATCATGGTTGTATAGAATTGCTTAATATGTTGAAATCCATCAAAATCACTCTGCTGGTCATCCTTAACACCAAATAACTGGTCACAACTTGTTAATTCAGTTGTTTTAAAATATGGGTTATTATTATCATCATTAGCACTAACTTCATCAGGCATTTCATTGCACATAATGTCGTTTTCTCTGCCATCAAGTGAATTGAAGATACCATTTTTCTTAAATGATTTGCCAACAGTTTCAATTTAGGTATCACAAACCTCTGTAATCCATTTGAATAATGTTGCCAGTGACTCAGCTCTTGTGCTTCCTCCAATTATCCAGATGTTTAATTTCTTTCTCGTATTATCCTTGAAAGATTTATTTATAGAGATAACCAATAAATAACCAGAGGTTGTACAAGGCTTGTGTGGGGAAGATAATTGTGTGGACAGGAAGGGTGAAGCGTCTGCGAGTACAGTAAACTGAGTGAGGGGTAAGGAGAAGAGAAAGAGAATGCCTCTTGCCACTCTCCTCCATTCTCCTTTCCATGACCTCCAACTTAGGGGTGATGCCTCTTACCCAAGCTCTCTGGCAACCCACCTGTATGTTCTTATGTAATGGTTGTATGTGAATAAAACTTGTCTAGCATGAGCAAGTAAGCCTACTGCAGTGTATCTCTATTCTTATGCTTGTCAAGTGTTTGGGCTGACTATTTCTCTGTTTTTGTTACAAACATATTGAAGTTTTTGGTGCTATTTTTACATCTTGAATATTTTTTTTTTTTTTTTAAGTTTTTCTACGTCAGAACTATTTGGCCTTTTTAAAGTCTTCAGAAACTGGTCGTATCTCACCGAGGCGGGGTGGCCCAAAAAGAAAAACGAAAGTTTCTCTTTTTAACTTTAGTAATGTATACAGGAGAAGGGGTTACTAGTCCCTTGCTCTCGGCATGTTAGTCACCTCTTATAACACGCATGGCTTACAGAGGAAAAATTCTGTTCCACTTTCCCATGGAGATAAGATGAAATAAGAACAAGAACTAGTAAGAAAATAGAAGAAAACCCAGAGGAGTGTGTATATGTATATGCTAAAGAATAAAGATTTTATTTCTTTGCAAAGGTTACAATGTGTAATTACAATTTTGATTTGTTGATTCCAAAAAAAGCCACTATCATGCCGGAGCATTTTGGGCAGACTGATCCTAGTACATAATAACTACTAAAGTCTAGACAAGATAAGAGTGGTTAACTTTTTAATAAATCTTATTTTATCTTAATACTTAATATTGGCAGTTTGGAGGGATATGGTGTGTATCTTTATACGTATATATGCTTCTAAACTGTTGTATTCTGAGCACCTCTGCAAAAACAGTGATTATGTGTGAGTGTGGTGAAAGTGTTGAATGATGATGAAAGCATTTTCTTTTTGGGGATTTTCTTTCTTTTTTGGGTCACCCTGCCTTGGTGGAAGACGGCCAACTTGTTGAAAAAAAAAAAAAACTAATGCGAAGTAGTAAAGGTGGAGATTTATAAGAATAATAATCTTGAAATTGGGATACGGCCAGTTTGTGGTGTAAATATTATGCAGAGAATTCGATTGTGGAAATTAGGAGAAGGTGTGGAGTTGATAAGAATATTAGTCAGAGGACTGAAGAGGGGTTGTTGAGGTCATTTGGTCATTTAGAGAGAATGGCTCAAGGTAGAATGACATGGAGAATGTATAACTCTGCAGGGGATGGAAGGCAGGGTAGGGGTCATCCTTGAAAAGGTTGGAGGGAGGGGGTAAAGGAGGTTTTGTGGGTGAGTTGCTTGTACTTCCAGCAAGCGTGCATGAGTGTGTTAGATAGGAGTGAATGGAGATGAATGGTTTTTGGGACCTGACGAGCTGTTAGTGTGAGCAGGGTAATATTTAGTGAAGGGATTCAGGAAAACCGGTTATTTTTATATAGCCAGACTTGAGTTCTGTAAATGGGAAGTACAATGCCTGCACTTTAAAGGAGGGGTTTGGGATATTGGCAGTTTGGAGGGATGTATAATAGGACGGTAGATATATAATTGGGGTCCTGATATTATATTCTATATGGAGTTTATTATATTATTTCAGGTCACATTTTATATTTTATCTTTATATATTCTTCTAAGCTGTTGTATCTGGGCACTTCTGCAAAAACAGCGATTATGTATGAGTGAGGTGAAAGTGTTGAATGATGATGAAAGTACGTATTTTCGTTTTGGGGATTTTCTTTCTTTTTGGGTCACCCTGCCTTAGTGGGATATGGTCAGTTTGTTGAAAAAAAAAAAATATACGCACGCACGCACGCACGCACGCACGCACGCACGCACGCACGCACGCACACACACACACACACACACACACATACATACATACATACATACATACATACATACATACATACCTCATCTTAAAGCTATGTATGGTTCCTGCCTCTACTACCTCACTTGCTAGGCTGTTCCACTTCCTGAATACTCTATGACTAAAGAAATACTTCCTAACATCCCTTTGACTCATCTGGGTCTTCAACTTCCAATTGTGACCCCTTGTTTCTGTGTCCCCTCTCTGGAACATCCTGTCTCTGTCCACCTTGCCTATTCCACGTGGTATTTTGTATGTTGTTATCATGTCTCCCCTATCCCTCCTGTCCTCCAGTGTCATCAGGCCAATTTCCCTTAACATTTCTTCGTAGGACATTCCCCTTAGCTTTGGAACTAACCTTGTCGCAAACCTTTGCACTTTCTCTAATTTCTTGACATGCTTGATTAAGTGTGGGTTCCAGACAGGTGCTGCATACTCCAGTATGCATGGTGTACAGTGTCTTGAGCGATTCCTTACTAAGGTATTGGAATGCTATTCTCAGGTTTGCCAGGCGTCCATATGCTGCAGCAGTTATCTGGTTGATGTGTGCTTCCGGAGACGTGCTCGGTGTTATACTCGCCCCAAGCTCTTTCTCCTTGAGCGAGGTTTGCAGTCTTTGACCACCTAGCCTATACTTCGTCTGCGGTCTTCTTTGCCCTTCCCCGATCTTCATGACTTTGCATTTGGTGGGGTTAAATTCGAGAAGCCAGTTGCTGGATCAGGTATCTAGCCTGTCCAGGTCTCTCTGAAGTCCTACCTGATCCTCATCTGATTTAATTCTCCTCATTAACTTCACATCAAATGCGAACAGGGACACTTCTGAGTCTAACCCTTCCATCGTGTCATTCACATATACCAGGAATAGTACTGGTCCTAAAACCAGCCCTAGTTGTACGTGATGAGGTATAACACCCACTGTGATACCTCATCACGTACCATGACTCGTTGTTGCCTCCCTGTCAGGTATTCTCTGATCCATTGCAGTGCCCTTCCTGTTATACGTGCCTGATCCTCTAGCTTCTGCACCAATCTCCTGTGAGGAACTGTGTTGAAGGTCTTCTTGCAGTCCAAGAAGATGCAATCAACCCACCCCTCTCTCTAATGTCTTACTTCTGTTACTTTATCGTAAAACTCCAGTGATTATGTATGAGTGATGGTTAAAGTGTTGAATGATGATGAAAGCATTTTTCTTTTTGGGTCACCCTGCCTCAGTGGGAAATGGCTGGTTTGTTGAAAGATGATGATATTATATATACTATATAAGAATTATGAATATTTTGGCAAAGAAGTCAGGGGGTTGAACTTTACATGGTATATATGTACTTGGAGTATACCTGGAGAGGGTTTCGGGGGTCAACGCCCCCGTAGTCCGGTCTGAGACCAGGCCTCGTATAGGGTTATACTCAAGTAGTATAATATTTTGTGTGTTTCCTTCATGATCCAAAATACACAAATATGGTGTTACATGGATACCATCATTATTATTAATATTTTTATTATTATTTATTATTATTCTTTCTTTCTTTCAATGCACCAGCCATATCCCACTGAGGTGGGGTGGCCCGAAAGGACAAATGAAAGTTTCTCCTTTTAAATTTAGTAAAATATACAGGAGAAGGGGTTACTAGCCCCTTGCTCCCGGCATTTTAGTTGCCTCTTACGACACGCATGGCTTACATAGGAAGAATTCTGTTCCACTTCCCCCTGGAAATATTATTATTATTATTATTATTATATTCACAAAAAATAATAAATTCAATAGTGATTACATATTGTATTGGACTTTGGTTTATTGGTTATACTACGTATATTGAGTCCTTTGATTTCTAAAGTATTTACAAGTAAGTAAAGCAGTATGGCATGTAGCTTTTATTGTCTGCCATAAGATCTCACTTGCTGTACTATTTAAGGATGGTATTTTATCTTGTATTATGGAGAGGAAAAAATTTTACTTGGCGTAGTTTATGCAGATTTATAGCTGCATCTTAATCTATCATAAGTGTTACAAAAGAAGTTGTGTACCTGTGCATTAAAGGGCATTCCATATTTCATAATTGTATCATTTTATTTTAAATAATCTTGTGCTTGGAATGATAGTAGAATTTATTATAATTAAGCAGTAGAGCTGCTAGATTAGGGAATATTGTCACTTGTTAAAAAAAAATTTCATTCATAGTCATGTTTGATTATTACAGTAGATTTTATTTTTAATGTTTAAAAAACTTAATGGCACATATATGTAGTGGTAGATAGCTAAAGCTAATTAGAATAATTAAAACCTGGGATTTTAAACATCCACCATACACCAGGGAGGAAGGAAGAGCAGCTGCCAGCTTCATGGAGTCCCAAAAGTCTAGACAATACAGAGAACTTGCCCATCATTATATGTTTGTTCCCATAGGCTCAGAGACCCTTGGTTTATAGGGAAAGAGTTCCTTAGGGAGCTAGGCAAAAGACTCATTAGGGTAACTAGGGATCCCAGGGCAGCTAGTTTTCTGTTCCAGCGACTCAGCGCTGCCGTTCAGAGGGGTAATGCATGCTGTATCTTGCACACACGCCCCAGCTCTGAGGAGCTGGATGAGATTTTTGCATTATGATCAGTGAGAAACATGTAACAATATGTACTAGACATATATCTCATGTACACCTCATGTATTGTATATGCCATCTTTATATCAACAACGTATCTCTTAAATTTTTTGTACCATATTATGTAATAAAATATACCTATTGGTAAAAAAGAATGAAAAACGGGTGGTAGGGTAAGTGGAATATTCAAATGGCTTCAAGAAGAAATCCAATATTCTTCCTTGAAGCCATTTTAGCCACTTCTCCAAGGCTATGGGTCCCACAGTTTGCACCAGAGGTGGATCCCATTTTGTAACAGATATTCTTGAATACTGTATTTACCGGTAATCTAGTTATTATTCATAGGGATTCCCATGTTATGCAAGTGGGATGACTCGGAAATCATTCTCTCTCTCAATGTTTTGATCAATGTATAAGGATAAGCTTAATATGTACTTTCATTTTGCATGAAACAAGTTTGTAATGAATTGGTTGGGAAATTTATCAAATTAAAATTTATTTTCAGTATATATAAATTTTACTGAATTCCTTCACAAAGTATCGACTTAGCCAGACTTGAGTCCTGGATGTGGGAAGTACAGTGCTGTTTGGAGGGACATCTGACCTGTCGTATCTGCATGCCTTTGGCAAGACAGTAATAGTGTAAATGATGGTGAAAGTGTTTCTTTTTCGGGTCACCCTGCCTAGGTGAGAGACAGCCAGTGTGTTTAAAAAAAATTAAAAGGCAAATAATAATAATAGTACTGTAGTAGACTGATGAACAGCAACAGCTATTCAAGAAAACACAAGCACCCTGTCGTATGTGAGAAATGGAAGCTTGTTAAATGTTTTGTTCTCCCAGAGGAATGTTGGTGTTTTGTTTCATGAACATGTCAGATAAATCTTGTAAACTTCTTATTATACTTTATTATACAGTATGTTTCCTAATACATGAATAACCTTCGCATAACCTTGTCTTTTCATTCCGCAGTAACAAGGTCCTAGGTACTCCTTTTCCTTTATTCATTCAAACACCTGCAACTCTCAAGCTTCTTAGTTCAAGTGTTTTGATTATCAAACATTTTAATAAAGGAAATACGACTAATACAACATTTGAGCCCAAATATAAAACAAAATTTATTATATAGGAAAAAGTTAATAAGTAAGGTTTATTGGGTGGACAGTAGGTTGGTAGACAGCAACCACCCAGGGAGGTACTACCATCCTACCAAATGAGTGTGAAACAAGCCTGGTTGGTTGAAGAGTTTGGTAGGGTATGTAAAAGAAGGAAATTAAAAGTTAATACATATAGGGAAGAGTAAGGTGATGAGGATAAAAAAAATTAGGTAACAGAAGATTGGATATCAGATTGGAGGGAGAGAGTATGAAGGAGGTGAATGTATTCGGATATTTGGGAATGGATGTGTCAGCAAATGGGTCTATGAAAGATGAGGTAAATCATAGAATTGACAAGGAGAAAGAGGTGAGTGTTGCACTGAGGAGTTTGTGGAGACAAAGAACTTTATCCATGAAAGTAAAGAGAGGACTGTATGATAGTATAGTTATACCAACACTCTTGTATGGGTGCGAGGCATGGGTTGTGAATGTTGCAACAAGGAGAAGGCTGGAGGCAGTGGAGATGTCATATCTAAGGACAATGTGTGGTGTGAATATAATGCAGAGAATCCATAGTTTGGAGATTAGGAGGTGTGGGATTACCAAAACTAGTATCCAGAAGGCTGAGGAGGGGTTATCTGGAGAGTTTGGACATGTAGAGAGGGTGGAACAAAATAGAATAACTTCGAGAGTGTATAGATCTGTAGTTGAGGGAAGGTGGGGTAGAGGTCGGCCTAGGGAAGGTTGGAGGGAAGGGGTAAAGGAGGTTTTGTGTGCGAGGGGCTTGGACTTCCAGCAAACGTGTGTGTGTGTGTGTTAGATAGCAAATTGAGACAAATGGTTTTTAGGACTTAATGTGCTGTTGGAGTGTAAGCAAGATGACATTTATGAAGGGATTCAGGGAAACCAGCAGGCCAGACTTGATTCCTGGAGATGGGAAGTACAGTGCCGGCACTCTGAAGGAGGGGTGTTAATGTTGCAGTTTTATAACTGTAATGTAAGCATGCCACTGGCAAGACAGTGGTGGAGTAAATGATGATGAGAGTTTTTCTTTTTCGGGCCACCCTGCCTTGGTGGGAAATGGCTGGTGTTAATAATAATAAAAAATTCCATGGCATTACATAGTACACATTACATTATATATTGCTGTCATACACGGACAAGCCTTTTAGCACACCATACCCTGCAGCGCTGTATAACCCTTATGGGTTTAGTGCTTGGTTATGATTATAATAACCTAGGTCTGGTGTTCTCCCTATGAATGAAATAATTCATAGTAAGGAGCATTGTATAAGTTAAGCAATTGAAGTAAGGGGTGTTAGTATTAGTAAAAAGAGAAAGTCTTAGTTGATCTATGAAGTCCTCGTAAAATGCTAGACTTTGAGAGTACGCTTAATCATTGTCAAGTCATTTGATACTGGTGAGAGGGTCTTGATCCAAGAAACTGGACCACACCTCCCTTTGGATTGAACTTGATTGCCTTCCATCACCCCAGGTGCTGTATGACCCTTGTAGGTTTAGCACTTCATTCTTTATTATAATAGTACGACTCCCTGTGGGTTTAGTTCCAGCGGCTGGGTTCGGTAAGTATATAAACCCGGAGTTACGGTGGAGGTAACTTCTCGACTCCTCGGTTTGACATTAATCCTTAATCCCATCAACAACTTTTTATTAAATCAAGCTAAGCCAGAAAGATACTTCACCACTGCCATTGTTGGAATGCAGATGTGCTGCCTCACGAAGTGGTGCTGCTGTATCTGCTGGCGTTAAGTTCTGGGGTCTTTCCTCAAGAAAGAGAAACGAGAACATGTACACGAGGCAGGTTTTAATAAGGCTTAAGTTGTGGCTGCCCTTAACCACAGTGGGTTTCTATACTGTATGCAACAACTAGAATTACTAGATGAAGAGATTAAAATATATATACCAAGGCAGGGTGGCCCAAAAAGAAAAACAGAAGTTTCTCTTTTTAAATTTATTAATTTATACAGGTGAAGCGGTTACTAGCCCCTTCCTCCCACCATTTTAGTCGCCTCTTACAACACGCATGGCTTACGGAGGAAGAATTCTGTTCCACTTCCCCATGGAGATAGGAAATAAACAAGAACAAGAACTAGAAAGAAAATAGCAGAAAACCCAGAGGGGTGTGTATATATATGCTTGGTTTAGAAAGACATGTAAGCAAGGTTTATACCATATGTATGCTTGTACATGTATGTACTCACCTAATTGTGGTTGCAGGGGTCGAGACTCAGCTCCTGGCCCCGCCTCTTCACTGATCCTACTAGGTCCTCTCCCTCTCTGCTTCCTGAGCTTTGTCATACCTCTTCTTAAAACTATGTATGGTTCCTGCCTCCACTACTTCACTTGCTAGGCTATTCCACTTCCTGACGACTCTATGACTGAAGAAATACAGTACTTCCTCACGTCCCTGTGACTCGTCTGAGTCTTCAGCTTCCAGTTGTGACCCCTTGTTTCTGTGTCCCCTCTCTGGAACATCCTATCTCTGTCCACCTTGTCTATTCCCCGCAGTATCTTGTATGTCGTTATCATGTCTCCCCTGACCCTTCTGTCTTCCAGCGTCGTCAGTCTGATTTCCCCCAACCTTTCCTCGTACGACATTCCCCTGAGCTCTGGGACTAGCCTTGTTGCAAACCTATGTACCTTCTCTAACTTCTTGACATGCTTGACCAGGTGTGGGTTCCAGACTGGTGCTGCATACTCCAGTATGGGCCTAACATACACAGTGTACAGTGTCTTGAATGATTCCTTATTAAGGTATCGGAATGCTATTCTCAGGTTTGCCAGGCGCCTGTATGCTGCAGCAGTTATTTGGTTGATGTGTGCCTCCGGTGACGTGCTCGGAGTTATGGTCACCCCAAGGTCTTTCTCCCTGAGTGAGGTCTGTAGTCTTTGTCCACCTAGCCTATACTCTGTGTGCGGTCTTCTTTGCCCCTCCCCAATCTTCATGACTTTGCATTTGGCAGGGTTGAATTCGAGAAGCCAGTTTCTGGACCACATGTCCAGCCTGTCCAGGTCTCTTTGCAGTCCTGCAGGGCTGCAGTCTTTGCAGCCCTGCCTGTGTAGTGTGACCTAAGTGTAAGTAGAAGTAGCAAGACATACATGAAATCTTGCATGTTTATGAGACAAAAAAAGGACACCAGCAATCCTACCATCTTGTAAAACAATTACAGGCTTTCGTTTTACACTCACTTGGCAGGATGGTAGTACCTCCCTGGGCGGTTGCTGTCTACCAACCTACTCCCTAGGATATATATATATATATATATTATATATATATTATATAATATATATATATATATATATACAGTGGACCCCCGCTTAATGATCACCTCCAAATGCGACCAATTATGTAAGTGTATTTATGTAAGTGCGTTTGTATGTGTATGTTTGGGGGTCTGAAATGGACTAATCTACTTCACAATATTCCTTATGGGAAAAAATTCGGTCAGTACTGGCACCTGAACATACTACTGGAATGAAAAAAGTTCGTTAACCGGGGGTCCACTGTATATATATATACAGTGGACCCCCGCTTAAAAGATCACCCCCAAAATGCGCCCAAATTATGTAATGTATTTATGAAAGTGCGTTTGTACGTGTATGTTTGGGGGTCTGAAAGGGGACTAATCTATTTCACAATATTCCTTAGGGGGAAAAAATTGGGTCAGTACTGGCCCTGAACATACTACTGGAATGAAAAAAGTTCGTTAACCGGGGGTCCACTGTATATATATCAATAATAAAACTGCGACTACCCAAGGACTTGAGCCCATGCTGCTTTAGCCCGCCTCGTGGTGGGAAAAAAACCTGATCCCTTAACCACGGACCAACAATCCTAAGAAAAGAAAATTTCGTTTCGTTTTTTAAACCCCCGGGGGTTAGCCACCAGGATAACCAAGAAAGTCAGTGGTCATCGAGGACTGTCAAATTATTTCCTTGGGGGGTCCTAAATCTTGTCCCCCCCAAACCTCGACAAACCCACCAGGTACCTTTTTTGCTGCTGGGTTAAACAGGACAAAGGTGAAAGGGGAAACCATAAAAGTTTCCCCCCGCGGGGAACGAACCTGGCCCTCGTGTGTGAAGCGAGAGGTTTAGCCACCAGGCCCCTTAAGAGCAGGGGATCCAGTGGAGCTGGATGTTGTACCGCTACCCAAGGCCCGATGGGGTTTGGGAAATAGGCCAAAGGGAGAATGGGCTCGAGTGCTGGCAAGTCACGGTTGTTATTTTCGAACCACTTGTTGTGGGAGGCCATTGTTTAAAAAAAAAAAAAATTTATATATAGTATATATTTTTTTATTTACAACTGGCCCATTTTCCCCCCAAAGGGGGTTTGGGCCCCAAAAAGAAAAACTTTCACCTCATTTCCCCCATAATGTCTGCCAAAGGGTGTT